GCTTTGCTCCCAGTCTCCCTGCTCTGACTTTTAAAGTGGCTGCTCCTGCCGGCTGCCTCGGTTCACAGTGTGTAGAGAGAGGCATCATGTGGCCACCTCCTGGGTCTATGCTGGTCACATGGGCCAGAGCAGCATGCGCTCTGCTCCCACCCCAGCCCGGCACCCCCCTAGCGTGGTGCCCGGGAAGTGCCCCCTCCTGCTTCCCTTCACTACAACTGTGCCACGCTCCTCACTCCCCCGCCCCTGCCAGACATGACGGGGGAAAATTGTCCCCGTTGTGCTTCTGTCCCAGGGAAACAGGAAATACCGGACATTTCACATGTCCGGTATTTTCTTTTTGTTTTTTTTACCGGACAGAGCCCACAAATACCGGACTGTCCAGGTGAATGCTGGATACCTGGCGACCTTAAATGTACTCACCCACAGTTTACTATGATTGATGATAGATGAAATATAATTACTTTTTCTTCATCTGCCAAATAAATGCTTGTTCTAGGCTAATCTTTCATTTTTGTTTTACTTGTAGAAAAATGAAATATTAATGTAATACGATTTCCCTTCAGGGAAGATATTTCGTCTTGGTCCTTTAAAGGCCATGACTGTAAAAATTGGCTGTAACATGAATGCATTGAAATTTTTGCAGTTTAAATTCATAAGCATTGAAAGTGCATGTGAGGGTGGGAGGGGGGCACAACAGACTTTCTGGGCATGGTGACGAGGGGACAAGGTACACATTCCTGAAAGGGGTGGGGCTGGAGACCAGTGCTTCCCCCTCCCCAGAGTGTGTCCTTTTAAAAGACTGCTTCCTGCCGGAGCAGTGGTGGTGGCTGGGAACCCTGGGTTCTTTTGAATCCCTGGGCACCAAAGCAGCTGCCGCCTCCTTTCCCCAATTCAGCAGGCCTGCACAGATCACTTCAGTAACTTTTATGTTTAACAGTTTTTGTGTTGGATGCCATTTATGTGGTTTTTTACATGGGACTATCCACATCCTGGTTGAAGACCATGCCAAAACTTAATACTGTCTTCAGTAGTACAACCAGGATTTAATCTCACTTAGGTATTGAACTAGAGTTCAAAATTTTGTATCCATGAACTTGAATTTGACAATGCGGGTAGCTGTGACATTTTTGCTGTTTTGAAACTAAAAACTTATCTTTTTTTTTTTTTGGTAGATTCCTGTTTCACGAAGTCAGGAGAAGATGGTTGGCTGTTGGTTTTTCACTTCTGGTCCAGTCTCTCTGAGTGCCAAAATTGAGAGGAAGGGATATTGCAATGGTAACAATAGTTTTCTTCAGTTTTCAAACACACTTGTCAATATATCAAACTCTATTCATTTATGTCTTCAAACACAAAAGCAGTGCAAAATCAACACTTATTTGTAACAACGATTTAATGAATACTGGATGTTCTCAACTTACAGATGGGTTGTGTTCCAAAATTTGTGTTCCAAAATTTGTTTGTAAGTTGGTTATTTGGAACTCAGAATGCATTTTTCCCATAGAAACAGTGTTCTAAATAAGAAGTTCCCAGGCTAGCCCAGCCCACAAGAGCCTAATTAGTCCATAATACAGCTGAAATACTGTATATTTGCAATGAAAAATAATAGAATATTTAATCTTGAATGCTGGTCCTTGAGGAAAGGCAGGTTTTAATTAGAGGAGGATATGGAGATTCTGAAGGGGACTTCTGGTCACCCCCCAGCTGCCACCTGGGCTCTGCGCCAGCTCCTGTAGCCACACACAGACACCAGTGGTGAATGATGTAAGTGTGGGCTGGAGGACTTATAAGAAGCAGGAGGTGGCTGGAGAGAAGCGTGGCTACCTCTTCAGTGCACTGCTTTTGTCCAGCTGCTGGCTGTGCGACCACCCCCTGCTCCTCTGGAGTACTCTGGCCATCTGTGCCTTTTGCCTGCTCTCTTGAGGCTGCAGGTAAAACTTGCATGCACGTTTGTGTGTAATTTGGAGAGTGCCTGTACTTCTCATTTAGCAATTAGTGAAATCAGAACTCTGTAAATTTGGTTAAAATTAAGTCTGTTGGTAATGCAAACTGAAAACTTACATTCTTCAAAAGCTTGTCTGCATCTCACATACCAAGAGTGTAAAGGACAACCGAATAACATACAAAGGAATCCAATGCATCAGGGAAGGGCAGACAAATAAGCAGTGGCAAACTTTTAAAGTGCTTGTATACAAATGCTAGGAGTCTGACTAATAAAATGGGTGAACTAGAGTACCTCGTATTAAATGAGGAGATTGACATAATAGGCATCACCGAAACCTGGTGGAATGAGGAAAATCTGTGGGACACAATCATACCGGGATATAAAATATATAGAAAGGATAGAGCAGGCCGGTTGGGTGGCAGAGTGGCACTGTATGTGAAAGATAATGTAGAATCAAACGAAATAAAAATATTAAGTGAATCAACATGTTCAATAGAATCGCTAAGGATAGTAATTCCATGCTCCAATAATAAGAAATTAGCAGTAGGGATATATTACCGACCACCTGACCAGGACAGCGATACTGACATTGAAATGCTAAGGGAGATTAGAGAGGCTACCAAAATAAAGAACTCGGTAATAATGGGGGATTTTAATTACCCCCATATTGACTGGATACATGTCACCTCAGGAAGAGAAGCGGAGATAAAATTTCTCAATGGCTTAAATGACTGCTTTTTGGAGCAGCTGGTGCAGGAACCCACAAGAGGAGAGGCAATTCTTGATTCAGTCCTGAGTGGAGTGCAGGATCAGGTCCAGGATATAACCGTTACAGGACCGCTTGGGAATAGTGACCATAATATAATAACATTCAACATTCCTGTGGTGGGAAGAACACCTCAGCAGTCCAGCACCCTGGCATTTAATTTCAAAAAGGGGAATTACACAAAAATGAGGAGGTTAGTTAAACAGAAATTAAAAGGCACAGTGACTAGAGCCAAATCCCTGAAAGCTGCATGGAAACTTTTTAAAGACACCATAATAGAGGCCCAACTTAAATGTATACCCCAAATTAAAAAACATAGCAAGAGACCTAAAAAAGAGTCACCGTGGCTTAACCACCATGTAAAAGAAGCAGTGAGGGACAAAAAGGTATCTTTTAAGAAGTGGAAGTCCAATCCTAGTGAGATAAATAGAAAGGAACATAAACACTGTCAAATCAAGTGTAAAAATGTAATAAGAAAAGCAAAAAAAGATGGAGGAACAGCTAGCCAAAAACTCAAAGAAATAACAAAAT